GGCGCCTTTGCCCCGCGAGGCCGGCGCTCGCCGCGGGCGATCGGAGCCGGCCGTGACCTTCGCGTTCTCGGGGCGGGGTTCACCGAGCGGGGGGCGCAGCGTGAACCAGCTCCGGAGGGTGAATCTCTAACCTCCTGGGAGGTTTTCTAGAACCTCACTCGGCTCCGCTCGGCGAGCTGCCGGTGTCGCCGCTCAAAGTCAGATCTTGCCGGGCAGGACCGGCCAGGCTAAGGCGCCGTGGGTCCATCTTACAAAACACAGCCACATTGTAAAGATCCTGTACTTGAGGTTTTTCTCTTGAAATTTAAACACTAATTCCTCCTCTGAAATAGATTAAGGGAGGTTTTTTGGCTTTTTTCATAAAAAGAGATCCAAGGAATGTTTTATAAGCTTGTGCAAAGCCCCCGTTTTCGAGTTTGCATGCTCGTCATTTCTGACGGTGTCTGGCCTGCTGGCCCGTTCGGCCTGGCAAGAGCTGTCCGGCCGGGGGGTCGCCCGGGCTGCTGAGTCACGGGGCGAGACGGCCCCAGTGTTGGGGGTTTCTGTTCTCTGCACTCCATGCTAAGGTGGCTGCACACGGGACCCCAAGGTAAGGGCTCCTGGGCCGTCCCGAGTGTACGTGCAGCCGGGCACTTGCCCGCTGTCAGCCCAGCGCGCAGGAGGGGCCCCTTGTCACGTGGAGCCCGCAGCTGCCCTGCCAGGCGCGAGTCCGGGCTTGGACTCGTGGCTGAGGCAGCACTTACCCTGTCTGCCTGGCTCTGGTTCGACTGCCGCTTGTTTACCTCTGCACAGAGCCTTGGTGGCCCGAGCTGCAGGCCTTTGCTTGTACCCTCTGGGGCCAAATGCTTTTTCCCGAGGAGTTCGCGGCAGAGTGGGTTGATCCTGCTCCCTCTTATCCCTTGATCCGTTCCAGAGTTGTTGCTAGCAGGATGCTTGCATTGGCCTTTCTCGTCCCCGGAGCTGCACTGCTACTGAAGTGCAGACGGGAGATGCAGGCTGTGGTGGTGCGGTCGGGGGTGGAGGGGCGCGTGGCTGCCCTGGGGGACCCTCTGTCTTCAGCTCAAGGCGGCAGTTGAGTAAAGACCTTGCCCTCGGAGGCTGCAGCCGGTAATGATTTGTGCTCCCCCCCTTACCGCTGTATGTGCCACTGGTCAGATGGCTCTGTTGTCATAGGCAACGCCCCGTGGGCACAGTCGTATGAGGAGCGGAAACACTAGTATTTCTTTTGGAGGGGGGTGGGAGCGTCATGCACTTTTAGGATCTGAAGGGGTTTCAGACGTTCAGATTCTAGCCCGACACCTGCATGTTACAGGTGGTCACGGTGAAGTCCAGACGTTAAGTGGAAAATAAGGCCAGCAGCAGCAGCAGCAGCGAAGGGGAGATCAGGGACTCTGCGTGAAGTGCCGTTGGGATGCCTGGCGCCCGAGTGACGGGGCGTGCGTCAGCCCAGGGTCCGGGATGCCGGACAGCCTGGCACAGGGAAGGTCCAGGGAAACTGAGTCCTGTTGGAAGCCAGGAACTGGATTATCGACCAGGTGACCAGATGCTCACAGTGCCTTGCTAGTCAAGTCTCTTTGGCTCCTCTCCCGCCTGCCCTGAGAAGCTTTTAAACGTAAACACAGCAATTTCTGAACGCCGTCCTGACAGAGAAAGAAGCCCTTTCTGTGCTCTGGGTGCTCATCTGCATCCCGACTAGGGTATGTGGACGGCCTTGCGCACATGGGGCCCTGAGCTTATGCTCCACGCGGGGCTCTGCTGGCTGTGGCCAGTGAGTCAGCGCTGGGGTGGAGGCCAGCGGTGAGGCTCTCAGTAGAGGCAGGAGGTCAGATGAATTTTTTTTTTTAAACAAAATGAGAGAATAAATGGAAACTAAAATGGATTAAGAACTTAAAAATGTTGGATTGTATTTGATTTCTAAGGCAGACCTATCACTTTTTTTCCGGAATGTTACCTAAGTATTTGTAGCCTAGGCTTTCTGCTAATCTACCTTGTTTGGAGGGGAGGTTAAGATTTACTTGCTGTGTGTCTGGTTAGCAGTGTAAATTACAAGCGAGGAGAGGAACATACAAAAATTAGGGATGGGGGCCAGGGGCATCCCTAATGCCTGTCATCCTGCCAGTCTGGAAGGCCAACGTGGGAGGATCGTTTGAGGTCAGGAGTTAGAGACCAGCCTGAGCAAGAGTGAGACCCCGTCTCTACAAAACAGAAAAATTAGCTGGGCGAGGTGGCTCACACCTGTAGTCCCAGCTACTGGGGAGGCTGAGGCAGGAGGATCACCTGAGCCCAGGAGTTGGAGGCCACAGTGAGCTGTGATGACACCACTGCGCTCTAGTCAGGGCGACAGTGAGACTCTGTCTCAAAAAAAAAAGAGGGGGCCCCAGGACCTTTGGCTGTTCTGAATTGTGTCTTTAAACTGGTAAACGTAAGTGCAGCGTTTTCCTGAGTTCCGTGAGTTCTAGCAAATTATCGAACCTGAGGGGGTTTATGAGAACCCCTAAATATGTAGCTGCCTGCGCAGAAGTGTGGGGACCTGGACACCGCATTTTCGGCCTTCATCTGAAGTGGGGGCACCTCGTGGGACTGAGCCCTTCCCTTGGGGTCTGACGCTCGCTCAGTGGTTGGAACTGAAGTGCTGGGCTTGCAGCTGCCGTGGGGAATGGGCGCCCGCGCTGGCGTCGGGAGTCGTGTCGAGGAAGAGACGCCGCCCCCTCGGACCCCACGTGCGTCAGACACCCGAGAGGTCTGAGCAGCACCTCAACTTAGTAAAGGCGACTGGGCCGGGCCCACTGGAATCCGAGCCGCAGATTGGGCCTAGGGAAACGGAACTGCCGTGGCCCTGTTGTGGGAGGGCGGGCGCCACGGTCCGAGTTTTGTGACGCTGGTTCAGCGTCGGCGGACGCCTGCGTAGTCGAGAGCGCTTGCGAGGGTGCTGCTGTGTGCCGGCCTCTGGGGCAGCGGCCTGGGCTTCCCTCCAGGGACCCCCGCCCTGCCTTCCCGGCACTAGTGACACGCTTCGTGTCGGCCAGCACGGCTGGCGGCCATGCGAGAGGCTGAAGAGAAAGATCACGCGCTCATTTGAGAATCTGTCATCGTTTCGCTAGCAGCTTCCCGGGGGCTGCTGACGGCGTCGGCCGCAAATCTCCATTTCACTCCTGGGCCTTCGACGTGCTCTTCTTGGTTAGAAAGACGCGTACCTGCAACGAGTGGCCTCGCTGGGCAGCGGGCCCAGTGCGCGGGCGTCGCACTGCCTGCCTCGCTGCCGGCGGACACGCTGGCTCCGTTAACAGGCTGCTCCGTTTCCCTGTCGTTGCAGGTGTCGCTTGGCGCCTGCTGGGTTAGGGACAGACGGCAGCTCAGGGTGGTCACTGCACTTAATGAAATCGCAGTGACTGCAAAATCAGTTCACTCAGTTCTCGCGTGTACGTCTCTGGTCTCCTACCGTCTGCCTGCTCCCTGTCCCGCTGCCGTCCGCCTCCGTCACCGGCAGGGCTCTCCCCCAGCAGATCGGTTCTAGATAAGCAGGCCTGCCGCGCGGCGGCGGCGTCCGGGCTGGGAGCAGCCGTGCACGTGTGCGCGCTTTCTGGGGGGAGGCGCCGCAGACGCTGTGCTCAGTGGGTGGTGTCTGTTTCTGAGCCTACGTAAAAATTGAATCCAGGTGGATTTGAAATCTAAATGTGAATGTCGAACAGTAGAGTTGTTTGAAAATAAGAGACTAGCCTCAGCTTAGGAAGGATTGCTAAATTCGACTGAATTAAGATCAAGAACTCTATGTCAGAGGACGTGGGAGTGAAGAGGCCCCGCCAGGCTGACGGTTGAACGTACGTCGGTGAAGTACGTGTCCGGGGACGGAGAATTCCTGCGCACGGAGACAGCCAGGAGAAGGGAATGAGGGATTCCAGCAGCCAGGTTCACACACGCGTCCAGATGGCCGGCACACGTAAAAACGCGTCCGCCTCGTCAGAAACCAGAACTGCCACGTGAGCCACACGAGACAAGCCGTGCGAGTGCCGGCTCCCCCACGGAGGTCTGTCCGAGGGACACTTGGAGGCGGCTCGCTCTCCACAGGCCACTGGGGTCCGAAACGGCCTTTGTCCCGTTCAGAGCAGATCAGTCCTGTTCCCGAGGAACACACGGAGCAGCGGTCACGCGTGAACTCGCAGGGCCTCGGCGTCAGCGTGTGGTGCGGGCGTGTGGGGACAGTTAGACCTTTTTAAGACGATTTTAAATCCCTTAAGCTTATGTTGATACTGGCCTTTCGCTTTTAAAAGTTGCGCACAGGCAAGTGTCCCGTCTGAGTGGTGGCTCAGCAGACTTCGGAACGTTTGCTGGGGACAGAGGACAGGCGGTGCATCGTCTCATCATCCCTCCCGTGCCCAGGGAAGTGACAGCAGACCAGTGACTGGCACAAAAGGGCCGGAAGTGGGTGCAAGGGAGGGCTGTTGCCGTCGGCACCTCTGGAGACGGAAGGTGGGCTGGTGGTGGGCTGGGGTCGGGTCCCAGAGCCGCTGGAAACTCAGACTCCGCCCCGGCTCTGCCCCGCCAGGCTCCTGGGTGGAGTTGCACTTCAGCAGCAGCGGGAACGGGGGCGGCGTGCCGGCCTCGGTGTCTGTTTACAACGGCGACATGGAGAAGATACTGCTGGACGCCCAGCACGAGTCTGGACGGAGCAGCTCCAAGAGCTCCCACTGCGACAGGTAGGTGTGAGCGTGTGTCCCGGTGCCCGCGTCCCGGCACGTGAGCGCCATGAGCCACGCGGGGCTGCTGAGGACGGGTGGGGGCCAGGTCGGGGGTGTCCGCCGCTGCAGTCCTTGCCGTCGGTGCGAGGACATGACCTGGGGCTCTGTCTGTGGCAGGACCACGTGAAAGCCGGGGGCAAACGGACAACAAACAGCCCCGTCCTATTGGCCACCTTGGTAAAGTGGGTCAGGTCCGCGGGGTTCCTCGTTAGCACCACCTAGAGCGGAGCCCAGGTAACGTGGCTGAGTCAGTGACCAAAGGTCAGGTGCTCTCGAGGGCTGTGTGACAGACCAGGGAGGTGGCGGGTGACAAAGCCAGCCACCCACCAGCTGTTCTTGCCTCCTCCCCAGGAGACTGCCTTCTGGAGGACCGGGGGACAGTTTGGCCCTGGCCCCACGCTGGGGAGAGGGAAGCCACGTCCGCTGGCGAGAGCCCTCCTTCCCCGCCGAGACAGCTCCCCGCCGAGACAGCCCCCCGCCCCCGCCTTTGGGTGTTTGCTTCTAATGATAGCATGTCAGCGTGACGTTCTGTTTTTCCATTCTGTTCACATCCTTGCCAAAGCCCACCTCGCTCGCAGACGCCACAGGATATTAATAGAGCTTCCGAAACAGACACCCATAGCATTGGAGAGAAGAACAGCTCTCAGGTAAGCTGGAAGGAGAACGTGCAGCTGTAAACACTTGTCATCTCCTGGCACAGTAAACAGTTTCAGATGTGACGGAGTAAACTCTGGCTTCAAGGGTGTCCACTGCCTTTCCTTTTTTTAACTCTGCGGGTGGGAACATCCCGGCACACACAGGCCTCGCTCAGCTGGCCAGAGGGCCCGAGGCGCAGCACGGCCCCTGCCCCGCCTGCATCCAGGGACACGCGGGGGCCGTGGGGTCCCTTGTGTCCGCAGCCTGAGGGAGCGAGTGGCCGTTGGGAAGGGTGGCTGAGGGCCAGTGACGGGGTCGTCTTTCTTCCTTCTTGGTCGTCGGCTGGGCGAGTGGACTTTAACATCCGGGAGCTGCTGGGTGAGGCGGTACCTGCAGGGTCGCTCGGGGCCGCTCCGCCCTGTGGTGTGATCGCGATTGCCTGTCCGGGTCACACCCACGGTCCCGAGACGCTTGCTGACTGGCGCTCCAGTCGCCAGGCACTAGTAGCTCACCAGCCTGGTGATTTCCGTGTGCGGTCACTTCTCTGACGACTCGGTATTTAACGGGCCTTTCCCATCAGGCGCGTAGCATGTTGAGGGGCACAAAACCTGCTGGCGTCAGTCTGAGGAAGAAGCGTACCTGGCTTTTGGCCTTAGTTTTCCAGGAATTTTTTCTGTATTTGTTCCCAAAGCTGTCTTAGGAAGCACGGGCCCCTTGGGGCCAGTCCCCTCCCTCCGGTGCTAGTTTTCCCGGAGGCCGCCTTCACCGGAGCCTCCTTATCCGGGCCCTGCCAGGACTCCACAGGCCTCCAGAGCGCGGCAGGGCCCGGCGGTGGGCGCACCCAGGCGTGGGGCCTGCTCCTGGGCGTTGGGGCCCGTGTCCGGCTTTGGTGCACCCAGACGTTTGGTAGGTTGGGTAATTAATTCTAGAGTGTTTTCACTATTTCAAACGATTTTTCTCCCCTATTTTAAAAAGGAATTACATGTACAGGTATAGAATTGTGAAAATCCAAAAAAAGTAGAGAAAAACACTTACATTCCCACATTTTAAAATGCCTTTTAATTAACATTCTGTCCTGTTACATAACTTTGAAAGTGTGGCAGCAACTGTAGTTACATAAATTCCTGCACCCTCCCTCCTCCTCCTCACGAGAGCGTCTCTCCGACGTGCTGTGCTGTGTCCCCTTCACTTGGTCACACCCGTGCTAAGCCATTTGGGTTGTTTTTCTTTTCTCTGTCACAGCCAGTGCTGTGTCACCACCTCTGTCTTCGGGTCACGTCAGTTCCTTAAGATGGTGTTTGCAGCTCTGAGTGCCGCTGGAGCCTCAGGCCCGCGGGGGCCCGCACACGGGTGGCCGTCGCGCGGCGCGGTCTGGCCGCAGAGCGGGGGGCAGGCCTGGAGCTGGGTGTGCGGCGTGGCCGCGCTTGGTCCCCGAGAGGAGGAGTGGCCCTCTGGGGTCTGCGCCTGGCTTGCTGGTCTGACGCTCGGTGGGAAGAGGGTGCTTTCTGGTGTGACTGCGAGGATTTAATCGGCTTAAATTGCTTTGCTTGGTCGCAGTCGGAGGAAGATTATATTGAGAGAAGGAAAGAAGTGGAGAGCATCTTGAAGAAAAACTCAGACTGGATATGGGATTGGTCAAGTCGGCCGGAGAACATTCCCCCCAAGTGAGTGTTGGCAGGGTCGGGGCCTTCCCCCGAGGGAGGACGTGCCGACCGACACGGCGTGTCTTCTGCCGCAGGGAGTTCCTCTTCAAACACCCGAAGCGCACGGCCACCCTCAGCATGAGGAACACGAGCGTCATGAAGAAGGGCGGCATATTCTCGGCCGAATTCCTGAAGGTCTTCCTTCCGTCTCTGCTGCTGTCCCACCTGCTGGCCATCGGATTGGGGTAGGTGACGCCGCCGTCTGGCTCCTGCGCGGCGTGTCCTGGGCTGGTTCGGGGTCTCGGTGATCATTGTTAAGCTTCCTAGTGAGGTACAGGAGGTAAGTTACAGTCCGTGTGTCTTCACAAACACGCCCACGAGGTCACGTCCAGGTCGGGAACGGGAGCGGCTGCAGCCCCCGCAGGGCCCACCCGCTCCGGGGCTCCCCTGGGGCAGCCGTGGCGGAGTCTCCGCCAAGGAGGCTGCCTGTCGTTGCACGTCGTGTCGCGGAGCAGGAGCAGGAGCCTGCGCTGACGTCCCCGTCTGTGTTGTGTGTGGTTTGGTCGGTCTTTCCGCGGGGCGGACCCGTCCCTGTCCACTGCACGTGGAGGGTCGCAGTGACTCGCTACTCCTGCTGGGGGGCAGATCGTGCTGTTTAGCTGTCCGCAATGTTGGAGCAAGTGCGGCTTCCAGTTTTCTGGCTGCTGGTGCTAAGTAGCTCTGCAGAAACGTAGTGGGAGAGCAGGTGAGTGCGCTGCGAAGACCTCAGCGGAACCGACGCTGAGGGAGCCCAGGGCCTCTCGCCACGCCCATCTCCGCCCAGGTGGCGCCTCAGCAGCCTGGCGTGCAGCGTGCCGGGGCTGCAGGGTTGGGACGGGCGGGGAGGCTGCCGTGGGCTTCTGTGTGGGGCGGGAGGACGCGGGCGCGGCAGCTGTAGCACGGCCGCCCTTCCCCAGAGCCAGCACTGTGGCGCCTGGGCCGGTCTGTTTTCTGTCTTGGCGCACGTGGGACCTTGGGGGTCTCTGAGCAGGTTACACCCAGCTCTGTAGCTCTGGGGGAGGTGACAGCATAGTTCCCTTCCCTGACCTCGATTCTGGACCCCAGACCCAGGGGCTCCTCACAGATGTCACCTTGTTCAAGATGGAGTTCAGTCCACTTGGTTTCCTGGACCAGGCCCCAGGTGCGCCCTTGTCCCCAGCTCGCGCCTCCCCACGTGCGTGGCTCTCCCCGGGCTCGCGCCTGCCCTCGCCCACGGCCCTGTTGCCTTTACTTTGGCCGGTGCGCTGTGGGGTCGGGCTCGTGTGCGTCCGTGGCACCGTGGAGTTTGCTAGAGACCGGCCTCCAGAGCCTTTTCCAGAACGAGCAAGCAGAATCTCTGCATTGTAAACGTCCGGCTCAGGCCTTCTTTTCAGGGTGGAGCTCCGCAGCCCCTTCCAGGTTCTCAGAGCCTGACGGTGCTGTTACCCCCTCCCCCCAAAAAGCCCTCAGCAGCCTCCCTGTCAGGGTAAGATCCACCCGGAAACCTCCCGAGCTGCGCCCCGCAGCCTAATTCCTGCTGCCCACGGCCTGGCCAGGCAGGCCTCTGTTCCCGTCCCCTTTCCTGCAGCCCGTCCCCCTGCTTCCCTGAGAGATGCCAGCTGCGTCAGCTCGAGCAGTGCGGCGGGGAGCGTCTCCGACACCCCTGCGGCAGGGCTGGGGCACCTGGACTGCGAGGGCGGGGCTTTGAAGACAGTAAGGGACGCAGAGGCTCTCTGCATAGTGACCCACTTCTGATTGGCTGGTCTCTTACACCTGCCTTTAGCACAGGGCACTGTAAGAACAGAGTTGGCTGTTTTTCTAAATTAGAGTAATATAAGATACACATTGATGAGTAGAACACTTGGTGAAAGCTTACAGATTTGTTACCAGCGTTTTATAGAACGCATTGAACAGCCAGTCCCCTTCCAGAAGCAACAGCCGCAGTGAGCTCCCCGTTTCTGCTGTGCAAAACCAGTTAATCGCAACACGACTTTAACTGCTAATTACTTTTTCTGTTAAGGATCTATATTGGAAGGCGTCTGACGACCTCCACCAGCACCTTCTGATGAAGAATTGGAAGCCAACTCTGTCCACACAGCGGGGATTTCTATCTGAGCTTGCAGCACAGCTGACTGAAGAGCTGTCGTGATCCTTGGGTGGCTGCATAGCTTGTGTTTATCTGCTCTGTAAATGCTGTGTTTCTTTTAGTAAAATGAAAGAACAGACACCAGAACCATGCTGACCTATAAGTATACCTATGGGATCAATTAATAAGCATGTCAGACTGATTATCTACTGTAACAATTTGGTAGTGAATTTTATTTGGATATTAGATACTAAACATAAATAATTTTAATATACTAGTTATGATATATGTAGTATTTTAAAAATTACCTGTAACGTTAATTCAGTTAAAACACTTTCCATTTCAAAAGAATGGATAACATTGGTATTACAATTACTACTTTAAGGGGTTTGTCTAAAATAAATATTGTGGCCTTATATCGAAACTGTTGTAAAACGTACCGTGTCTGAGTGGATGCAGGTTGTCTACGAAGACGACATGCAGCTGTGCTCACTGTTCGTAGGCAGTGAAAGAAATCGGGACCGCTGCCCCACCCTGCACAGTCACACTCTGACCTGAGCTGGCCGCGCAGGGACTGCAGCCGCGCGGCCGCGTCTCACTCCTTGTCACTCTGGGCCGCCAGTTAACCTGTCATTTACACTCAGCTCGTGTGCTTTTAAGTTAGCTTTATTCTAAGTAAATCTGTGTCTACTGCAAAAGACTGGAAAATGAAAAAATAAATCTTTGCCAAATTCTTCAGAGACTGCTGTATTTACATATTGTTTAAAACGAAATGTCATGATCGCTTCTTGATTACACCAGGCCTGTTCCTCAGTGTCACATTCTTTATCTAGATATTTCTGTAGCATGACTACGTGTCTATTTTGTTTCACCTTTCCACAGTTAATTCAGATGTGCTAAAATAAAATCTCACATTTTAATTTTTTATTAAGAGGGTCTTGCTATGTTGCCCAGCCTGGTCTTGAACTCCTGGCCTCAAGTGATCGTCCCGCCTCAGCCTCCAGAAGTGCTAGGATTAGATTACAAGCATGATCCACCATGCCTGGCGGTCCTTGACATTTTAATTTTTGAAAAGTCTGTTTAGCTGTGAACTATTACCTTGGAAGCAGTAGTTCATAAGCCTTTCATTTGGAGGAAGCTGATAGAAGTGGCACCAGAATTCTCAAATGCAGCCTCGTGACGCTGTGAGGTCACACCGAGTCACACTGGCCCAGTGAGTTCCCTTTTGTGCAGAGCCAGCACGTGTCTCACGCCACACACGTCGACAGGGTGTGAGAGCTCTGAGTCCTGCCCGCCTGTGGTGTGGCGCCGGGCACCTGGGGCAGGTGCCAGTCACGCCTGCCCTCCCTGGCGGCGTTAGCCGGGCTGCCGGAGTGCTGTGGGTGAGCGTGACGGGAGAAGGAGAGTCGAGTTTTCTAGGGGATATTTTTTGTTAGACTCACATCGCGGGATGCATTTTACTCATTTGCAATGAAGAAACGAGTTCAGTACATGTCTGTGTATACGTGTCTGCATGTATGTTGTATACATACGTGTTACCTTTCAGGTAGGAAAACGGCAGTATAATAATTGAGCCTTTTCTTGAATAGTTTTTGCAAAATAGCCTTTTTTTCCTACTGTGAATACAAGTAACTGGCCACACCATTGCTGAGTAGTCGGTTTACAAAATGTTTAACATAATCCAAATAACTTTCAAAAAATTATCACTTGGCCACCACTTATCAATAAACGCAGTTTCCTGATGCAGTCAGTTTGCACTAACCATACAGCACGAGTTTGCAGACTGTAGAGTGGACACCTACACCTGGCCAGCAATGCATGGGGCCACGGCTCGAGGGGGATCTGGCAATGCCTTAAAGGCCACATATGTGCTTTCCTTTGGGCCCGAAACCCACTTCTAGGAATTTACCCCCAGGATAAACCTAGAAATTTGAAAATACACATGCACGAGGACATGACTGTATTACAAGTTTTGAGGCTGGGCACGGTGGCTCACGCCTGTAATCCTAGCACTCTGGGAGGCCAGGCAGGAGGATTGCTCAAGCTCAGGAGTTTGAGACCAGCCTGAGCAAGAGCGAGACCCCGTCTCTACTAAAAATAGAAAGAAATTAATCAGACAACTAAAAATACATAGAAAAAATCAGCTGGGCATCGTGGCGCATGCCTGTAGTCCCAGCTACTTGGGAGGCGGAGGCAGGAGGATCGCTTGAGCCCAGGAGTCTGAGGTTGCTGTGAGCTAGGCTGATGCCACGGCACACTAGCCCGGGCAACAGAGTGGGATTCTGTCTCAAAAAAAAAAAAAAAATTGAAACAGCTGAGGTGCTCAAACAGGAGAAAGAGACTGTTGTGAGCTCTGGTTCTGCCACACGAGTGTGGGTCTCTGCAGCTGCTCAGCACAATGAGGGGCAGTTCAGGGACCTGGTGGTGATTTCCAGGGTATACTAAGTTTTAAAAAAAAAAGATAAATGCAAAAAAGTGTATGTATCCCTAACAAAAGGGAAATAACGTTTGGTGGCGGGTGTTTGAACAAACTTGCAGTTTTTAAACCGTCCCCCCTAGTATTTTGACCTTTCAACGATGTCTGTGTTACTCTGGATTACTTGGCCTGTAGGATGAGGAGGACGTGATGTGGCCCCGGTTTCCGGGCCCACCTAACCTGGCACTACTTCCCGTCTCTCGGGGGTATTTGCTCTTAGAACCCAGCTCCATGCTGGGAGGAAGCAGGCGGCCCAGTGGAGAGGCCCACCCGGAACAGACGGCAGCCAGCACGCCCGCCATCCCTGTGTGGCCATTTCTGGCGACTCCAGCGCTGGGAGGACGACCCCAGCGGACACGGCCTGGAGTGGAGATGAGCCGGCCTTGCTGAGCCCCGCCCATGCTGCAGACTGGTGAACAAAAAAGGACTGTTTTAAGGAAAAAATAGTATCCTTTATGCAAAAAGGGAAGAGCTAAGGAAAATACACACTTATGCTCATTTGTGGCAAAAAAAAAAAAGGGGCAGCAAACAAGCAAGAAATGACATTGGTCACCTCACAGGGTTGGTGGGGACGGGAACATGCGAATGGGGTGGGAGTGTAACTGCATGACTGGCTCTTAGAACCACAGATACGCTGCACATACCGCCGAAATCAATACATAATTAAAACCATTTTGGGGAGAATCCGCGATAAAATACAAACAACAAGGAAACCTATTAGAAATAAGAGAACCACACTGAGCGGGTGGGGCAGCAAAGCACTGACCTGAGTACCTGGAAAACAGCATTTGCTCTGGATGCTACAAGGTTAAAGTAAAAATGTACTCTTGCTAGTAAATTTGTTTTTTGGGTCAGCAACTATGAAACCGTACACTAATAGTAAGTAAATAAATACATTGCGGACGATGAGAGCCTGGTTTCTCCCTGCTGGACAAAGGAGTTAAGGTGTGGGGGTGTCGGGTCTGGTCACAACTTGTGGTTTGAACAACAGGTGTGTGTGCACGTCCCAGCTCTGAGAGGTCAAAGGGCGAGGAGGCAGTGACCCTCCAGTGGCAATGAGCGCTGCCAGCCCCAACATCCTGCCCTCTAAGCCCGCTCTCCGATACAAGGAACCAGGGCGCATCTGGTGCCAGAAAGTGGGGAAATGCTCAAGAAACGGTGGCGGATCCAGACACAGGAGCCGGAGCGCCGTGAGGGAGCTCGCGGTGGCCCAGACTGGGACAGCTCGAGTAACGGAATCGCATAGTAGCTTTTTTGGCCGTGGAATGAAGCAGGTGTCCGTGAGTCTGTGGCGATAGGGAGCCACATAATGGGGGGCAGTTCTTCCTAACAGAGTTCAAGCTGCAGCACGCAACGACGGGACGTGGTGACCGCTGGCTCGCCGCGGGGAGTGTGGGGAAACGGTCGTGGCGGGGCCTGGGAGCCACCGTCCACCTCCTGACTTGACGTACGGAGGCCACGGCTCTCCTGTATTCTTGGCAAAACGCATCAGCGCAGTTTAATCACAGGAGAAGATCAGGCCAACCTACACTGAGAGAGATTATATGAAATAATCGTCTGCATCTTTCCAGAAGCATCCAGGAAGGGATGGAAGGCGGAGACGAGATGAATGTGGACCCTCGGGGACGCCGCGAGGGAGCCGGTGGTCAGGGAGGGCGCGGAAGAGCCGCCGCCCCGCTATTGATGGGGAGCTCCCGGGTCCCCAGGTGCTGGTGTTGCGGGAGAGGGTTATACGCTTTCTGGAACCTGTTTAAAATTGTTTCAAAGTAAACGGGAAGTGCACAGAAGACCGTTTTCACTCAGCGTGGCCCCTCGAGCAGGAGCAGCAGGGCTGCTGGGGAGGACGCAGGTTCTCAGGCCTGCACGGCCCCCCGCGGTGCCAGGTGGCCCCCGACAGCGACCAGTGAGGAGGCTGCTCACGTGGAGAGGGCGCCGGACACACCCAACAACGAAAAGCCAAACGACAGGGTGTACACAGGATGCTGCCTTTTCTGTAAAAATGAGGGAAAATAGGAATGCATGTTTGTGTTTGTATAAAAAACTGGAGTATGCCCAAGAAAGCAGTAGCAAAACTTATCCAGAGGGTCAGACGGAGGAGCAAGATTTTGTAAGAGACCTTGTAAGATTTTTCAGGCCTCTTGTCATGACAGAGCCCGTTTGTCATCTGTGGTGACTGCATCTTACTCTTGCTCTTCCTCAGTAAACCTCATTTTCGTGCTAACAAAAAAAAAGGCCAGTCGAGATGGCTCACGCCTATCATCTCTGGGAGGCCGAGGCAGGAGGATTGCTTGAGATCGGGGGTTTGAGACAAGCCTGAGCAAGACCGAGACTCTGTCTCTACTAAAAATAGAAAAATTAGCCAGGTGTGGTGGTGCTTACCTGTAGTCCCAGCTACTCGGGAGGCTGAGGCAGGAGGATCGCTTGAGCCCAGGAGTTTGAAGCTGCAGTGAGCTACGATGACGCCACTGCACTCTAGCCTAGGTGACAGAGCAAGACCCTGTCTCAAAAACAAAAAACAAAAAGGACATCCAGGTGTGTTCCTGTCCTGTGTGACCTCAAACAGCAGTCAGTGTGACACCACCACCTGCCCTGGACAGAGTCACGGCTGCTGCACCCTCAGGTCTAGGTAACGGCCGAGCTGCCAGAGGCACTGACAGCTAAAGCCTGGACCGCAGGCCGGTGACACCCCCTCTGCAGGTTCTTCAGTGCCTTCCCTTCCTCACAACTTCAGGGGTGCCACAGCTCGCCGCAGGTCACGGTCAAGTTCCGTGGCCTGCATGAGCCCCTGCATCCTGTGTGCAGCTGCGCCACGGAGGCCCAGCTGTTGCCGCGGCGGGTCCACCTGCAACCCGCAGCCGGACTGGCTTTAGGGAAAGCCCGGCCCAGCGCCCGAGAGCAGGAAGCACCCAGGAGGAGCCAGACCCCACTGCCCCCCGTGGCCCGGCCCAAGGTGCTGCCCCTCATCCAAATCCGCCTACACCCCGTCCACACTTGGCCGGGGCACCACCTGCAGAGACGCCCGCTGTGGGAGAGCACAGGCGGGTGTCTTTGCAGCGAGGGCAGGTGCCAAGGAGAGGGTGGTCAGGATGGGCCAGGCCCGCAGACGAGCTGCAGACCAGCGCCGGCAGGCGGGTCCGTAGCCCCCTCAGCTGCACACTTGGGAGCAGGAGCTCTCTGCACCTGTAAGGCCAAGGATTGCCGTCTCGCCTGCCTGTCGCAGCGCCCCCCCCCCACCCCAAAGCTCCCACCTGACTCCCTGGGCCTTCCTGGCACAGCACGGATGACACTGCTCCTGATGGAGACCGTCCGCACTCGACACCCACGACCTGGTCCTAGGGCCAAACCTGTCTCAGAGCAGTTCTCTGCGCACAACAGGCCCTTCCTGTTCCTTCGCCTGCAGCCGCTGGGAGGACGCCTGTCCCCGCCACGCCAACACTGCTGGTCCACGGACAGACACGTTTACGAGGAAAAGGGGTGTACGTGCCAATTCTGACACCCTTCTCGTCCCCCCCGTAAGACCGACAGTTGCTCCTGAGAAAGCAACACGGCAACACGCAGCCCTCTGGGCCAGGTGGGTCCAGCCTCGGCCCGCCAGGAACCGGACACCTGCCGACCAGGTGTGTCGCTGCTCCGGGGAGTCTCGGTGTTGAAAGCGGTCAGCTCTCTGCAGGTCGGACAGACAGACTCGCGCCGTCAGCTGCACTCCAGCTCACAGGTGCTGACGACTTGCGACTCTGAAGACCAGGCCTAGAGCACGATAAACCGGCTCACAGCAGCTCGGTTTCCTTCCGCACACGCGCGTCAGCTCTGCGTGCGAAGGAAGCTTGCTCAGCCAGTCCAGGCCGTCCGCCCAGGGACCACCAAAGCGTGACGTAAAACTGAAAAAAATTTCTGTAACTTTAAGCAGGAAAAGAAGAGAAAGTTTCAGAACAAGAAAAATGACACTTCATAAGCTTGAATATAAAAAAACTGAAAAATACAGGATTCTTACCTCATTGGGATAGAAAACGGCTTAAGTGGAATCGGCATATAAAAAGAACAAGGTAGAAACTTCGGTATCTTTTAAGTGTGTATTTCTCAGAGGTGAACCCTGCTTTTCACCAACGTGTCACTGCGTGGAGAGCACTCTGGAACACCACGCAGACCGCGGACAACCGCAGGAACGGCAGAGCGGTCGGCCGGTGGCTTCCGGAGCAGGGGCGCCAGGACTGCGCACGTCACACCCATGCCGTCACCGCCCGGCACACTGACCTTCCTCTCTGCCCTGCCGAGGCGCGCAGGTGGGTTTTCTGTTAGTCGGGAACATGTTCTCAAGTAAAGATGGAAAAAGTCTCCAAATACACAGTGAAATTCCAGTTAAACATTTAAAATTTATTAAATTTTTTGGTCAAAATAGTTGAACAAATATATACAATCCCATTTTACTAGAATTGTTTGTTTCTTAAGGACCAGGGCTGACTGACGCTTAAGCAACTCTGTCCACACCTCAGACTCTGTCCGTTGTCACACCCAATGTGCACTGTAAGAGTTATTTTTAAGTTAAAACAAAGGTACTTTTAGATTCTCAATTTCTAACAATGTGAACTAAAGTGGCATTCTGTTAACAGCAATTCAGGGTAATGACATTTTGTTCTTGCACATCCGTATCATTAGTAATCAAAATACAGCTTCATTTCAACAATGGCCAGGAGCCCCCTCCACCTCCCGGAGGACACGGACCAGGCTCGTGACAGATCCCGGGCAAGTGCTGGTCATCCCCCTCGGTACACTGCTGTGTCTGTCTTGGGGAATCCTGATTTCTGATATTGGAGATACTTTTAAAATGAACCACCGAGATGCTGGTGGCATCGCAAAATAAAATTGCTTAATTTTGCTGGTTTGAATTGCAATATGAAATTTTGCATGCACATAATTTTAGCAATACTTAAAAAGTTATTTCCTCCCAAAGTACTTTAAAGGGCTTAGGAAGAAAGCACGTTTCCAACTGTATGGAATTGGAGGCCTACTTTGAACCAGACGTTAATTTTATAGCAGCAATTGTGTTACCCTTCCTTGCAATTTGTCTCTCAGAGGTGGCCTCAGTTATGGCTTTTCCCAGACCTTACCTGGTGTATCAGATGGACTATTTTGACAGAAACAAAAGTTTGGCAGTTCGGGGGAAGATGCATTCAGAGTCTGAAGTGCTGCACATACTGTACCATCCTGCCAATGGAGGGCAAAAGTTTTCTAAATTGTTCCAAAGAATAATCCTGCACAATTTTATTGTATGCAATTAAAGCAAATAAAAAGACGATACTTATGTTTGGATTTAAAAACACTCCATATAGTGTGTTGCTTTTATTAAGTGGTTACGCCAGAGGTGCGACGGCAGAGTGGGTGAGCAAAGCCGCCGCGCCTGGGCACGGTGAGCCCGGCGGACGGCGCCACGCCGCACACGCGAGGCCCAAGTGCGATGGCAGAGGGAGGAGTTGGGGCCGGGGCGGGGGAAATTTGACAATAACTTTTCTCATGGATGTTAACCTTTTGGTCTATAAACTGAAAAGGAAGGCTCAGGCTTAAATAAATACATTTATCTTGAGTAATGGCCTTATGGAGCGACGGCCGTCCACACTGCTTCGAGGGGGCTTGCACGGGAGCGGCAGCGCCCACCCCGCCGCGCTGGGGCACAGCCGCGCAGGGACTCCAGCCAGGGCCGCTCCTCTCCGGCGTCCGTGGAGGGAAGGAGCAAGTGCATCACTGTTCTTAATGGAGCGGACAATGACGCCTTTTCTCTGACAGAGAGACGTCCGGCTTAACTATGCAAGGTGAGACTTGGTCCTCGAGTTAGCGCTCTAGTTGACTTTGTCCTGGAATATATACAAGTTATTGGTGGCGGCTACAGCGATAATGTTCTCCAGGGGGTGCCAGGCTGTGTGAAGGATCTTCTTATTGAAGTCCAGACTGTCCACACTAATCTCGTCTTTCTTTCTCTTACCCCCTGTACACACTTTCCGAGGCTTCAGGCTGGCACGGGGCTTGCTGTTCTCTCTCGAAGCTTCCAGGGTGACGTCCCTCCGCGCGTTTCTATCAAACATTCTGAAGAAGTTGTTGTAGGACCCAGTCATAATAGCACTGTCCAAAACGAGAAAAAGAGCAACACAAGTTACACGAGGCAGGCAGCAGGCCCAGACCCCAGCACTGGACACGCGGCGTGGACTGTTCTTGGCACCCTCCCTCCCAACACCGAGCATTTTCAGAGACAATGAACGAAAAACAACACAGGTCAGGAGAGACATGCAGTCAAGTCTCACCGAACTTCACATATCATCATGTCAGTAAGAATGAATTTCACAGTGTAAGAAAGAAAAAATGGATTCATCTTTTTTTTTTTTAGAGACAGGGTCTCTCGTTCTGTCACGCAGGCTGAATGCAGTGTCGTCTTCATAGCTCAGCGCAACTTCAGACTCCTGCGCTCAGGTGATTATCCCGCCTCAGCCTCCTGACTAGCTGGGACTGCAGGCAGGCGCCACTGCACCCAGCTGATTTTTCTATTTTCTGTAGAGATGGCATCTTGCTATGTTGCCCAGACTGGTCTCAAACTCCTGGCCTCAAGTGATCCTCCTGCCTCAGCCTCCCAAAGTGCTAGGATTACAGGTTTGAGCCACCGCACAGTCTCCTCCGTGTTTCTTAACAACTGATATTTTCCGTATCTGTGGTGCTCTGGTCTGCATTTCTTCTGTTTTCCTTTAAGTTCACTAATTCAAGATCTCTTCAACCAAAATGGATCTGCTGCTAACATGTAGTGATTTTCATCTATAGTATTTTTCATTTCTAAAAGTTCGATTTGATTCCTTTCCAAATCTCCTAGGTCATTTATATTTTTATTTTATTTATTTTGTTTGTTTTTGAGACAGGGTCTCACTGTCGCCCAGGCTAGAGTGCAGTGGTGTTATCACAGCTCACAGCAACCTCCAACTCCTGGGCTCAAGTGATCCTCCTGCCTCAGCCTCCTGAGCAGCTGGGACTACAGGTGCAACCACCACACCTGGCTTATTTCTTTTTATTTTCAGTAGAGATGGGGTCCTTGCTCTTGCTCAGGCTGGCCTCAAACTCCTGAGCTCAAGTAATCCTCCTGCCTCAGCCTCCCACAGTGCTGGGATTACAGGCATTAGCCACTGCGCCGGGTCTCCTAGGTAACTTTCAACGGTCTTGTGGTTCCTTGTTCAGGTTTTTGGTTGCTTCCTTTAATCTGTAAATATATCAAGCACTCTTATTTTACATCCTATATCTTACACATCTGAATTCTCAAGGGTTATAAGTTCTGTTATGGTTTCTGCTGACTTACTCATGGCGACTTTTTCCTACATGTGCTTGGTAATTTTGACCTGTGAGCTCACATTTAACTGATTTTCATTCTTCTGAGGAATCCAGAGACTTGGGTGTGCTGGGAGGAGCAACCCACCATGGGGCCAAGAAGCTCTGCATGTTCTTGCGGTGTCTGCCACGTGCGCCATTCTTAAGTGCCCTCCACCTGGGCCGCTTCCGGGGCTGTTTGCAGTGAGCAACCTCGAGGAGTGAGGTGACGCCCTGCCGCCGGCCAAAGTGCAGCTGCGTCCACTGCTCACTGTAAAAGCAGCGGGTTCTCTCAGCGTGCATCCACTATGCCAACCCCACGCTTGTGTGACACCTGCCTGGCCCCCGTGGGGAACCCGTGCCAACACAAGGACTCTGAAACGTGCCGTCTGCAGCCAACCTCCGGGAAACTGCAGGCAGCACGTCGGTCTGTAAATCTGGAAGCTGTCCCTCCGGATGCCCAGCACACGGCCCACTCGGAGGCATCAACTCCTCAGCACGAGGTTCTCCGGATCACGCAGCCAGCGCAAAGGCAAACGCCAAGTCCTCGTGAGGGCGCTACAGCTGCCCATCTCGGAGGAGTCCGGGCCATCCCAATCCAAGGTCTCCGACAGACAAGTTTCCCAGGCTCCACCTTCTTGCGTTCCACCTCCGCACCCTGTGTGGGCTGAGGCCGTAACTGCACGGCTGGGCTACAAGAACCCCGGCGGCAGGTTCCTATATCGGCTGGTGTCCCCAGGCCAGCCCGGGGCTTCGGAGTTTGCTGTCCGGTTTCAACTGTTTGTTCCTGGCCGTTGTGGAACTTTCCTTGCTGATTTGTGGGCCCGAGTGTGCATCTAGGAGACACTTGTACCATATCCTGCATATCTAGATGCTCGTGCCGAAGGGCTTCAGGATGTGCAGCTAATCACTTATTGCCAGTAGCAGAACTCCTCCTCACTTAAATTCCAAACAGAAATTCTCTTTTTCTTGAGAAGGGGTCTCGCTCTGTCACTCAGGCTGGAGTGCAGTGGCGTCATCACAGCTCACGGCAGCCTCGAACTCCTGGGCTCAGGCCATCCTCCTGCCTCAGCCTCGCTTGTAGCTGGGACCACAGGCATGCGCTACCACAACTGGCTAATCTTTTTTTAGAGACAGAGTCTTCTTATGTTGCCCAGGCTGGTCTCAAACTCCTGGCCTCAAGCCATCCTCCTGCCTGAGCCTCCCAAAGTGCAGGGATCACAGGCGTGAGCCACCGTCCCTGGCCAGAACAAAAAATCTATATAAAAATGATACAAGATAATTTCCCTCCATTATCTGAAATGTAATCTTTTTGTGTAATACTAAAGACACAAGTCTCGACAGCACGAGTATATTATCTTTAAAGAATGTGTACAAAACAACTCATCAGGGCAGCAGAACTACCACATCACAGATGACAGCATCAGCACTCGAGACCAGCCATCGCCACTTTCTGTCCGCACGCGGCACAGCGGGCTCTCCCCCGGCTACTGTGCGCAAGGAAAGGCAAATGGAAACGAGCCTTCCAGTGACGCCAGTCGTGTCCCTCCGCCTTCCTTCTCCCTCGCCTTGGGCATAATAAAAACTATCATGCATTTACTAAGCATTTTAAAAATAGCCAGCATGTACCTAGTGTCACGCTTATTATCTAAACACAGATGGAATCAGAAGCTACATGAGAAATTTACTCAGATACCCTATTTTCTGCACTTTGATGCTGCCATCAGGCAAACAGAGGCCTGGAAAACAACACCCTATCAGCGCCGTTCCTCCCACAGCTCTGGACCATAGCTCGCCCCCAGCGACCTTCCTCTCCGGGCACCGCGCGCGGCCCTGAGGACCAGCGAGCAAAGCCAGCAAGCTCTGGGTGCTCTCGCGTGCTAATGCAGGCCTTACCTATCCGAACCGTTCCAGCAACACTCAAACTTGTCGAAGATGCAGTCGTTTTCGTACAGAGAACAGAGCTTGCTGCGCAGGTACTCGTGGACCTGGTGGGTCTCGACCGGCCTGCTCTCCATGTTGAGGTCCCACACCTTCACCGACAGGTAGTCCCTGGTCATCATGTACCGGCCACTGTGACTGAACTTTACGTCGGATATGGACGAGATGATTTCTGAGAAGAAGGACCTACTGCTGGGATCTTCGGGTTCTTCAAAAACTGAAAAACAAAATAAAACATTTTCAGCTTCTGTTTAACAATCAGAGAATAATTCATTTAAAAGCTCAAGTAGGACGTGGCCCCCTCACTGAGACTCTGGAAGTGCTCAGCTACGTCTTCTGATCTTTGGCTCCCGCGGGTCGGAGATTCAGAGGAGATGTTCCAGCGCCAGGTACCACAAAGGACAGGCCCGAAGCACAGACACCCGAATCTCACCCAGGTCCGGAACCAGAACCACTGGACAAGGTCCTGCGGCCACCGTCTGAGAAAGCTCCTCAGGGCATCCTGGTGCAGCCCCGGTTCAGGGCCAGCGCGTCACCGTGCAAACGTCTTCAGGCCCCCACGGCACCAGGCCCGAGCACGTGACGGTCTATCCCACATAAGGCCACAGGAAGAGAGAAACAGCGCCGCGTGATCTTGCAGACGCAGTGCGCAGGCCTCTAGAAAGAGCCTGTGCTTTGGAGGGGCGACAGCGTGAGGGTCTGCTGGAGTGGTCCCACCAGCCACAGCCGGCTGGCAGAAGGGTTTGTCCGCAATACTGAACAGTCGCGTTCAATACGACAAAACTGAGTTCCGTTTTCAGAAAGACCTGGCGCTTCCTGAGCAGACCCTGCTTTCTGCTACAGTTCTGCCTTCTCTGAAGCGGAGTTCCCTCCACCTGTACCCGTGGCAGAGGGAGGTGTCCTGGCCCCATGGGGCCAGTGAAGTGCCCAGCACACTGCCTTGTCCCAGAGCTCAGGAAACCCCAGCCCGGGAGACACGCGCTTCCTCTACCGTAAGCTGCTCCAGCTTTCCCTTCTTTTCCACCTACGCCCATCCACAGAACCTCCTTTGCCATGACGTGAGAGCCTGCGTGTGTGTCAGCTCTGTTTCTGAAGTTAACTTGAAGCCAGCTGTCTACTCTGGATATGAGGGAAACCTGGCCGAGACACCTGTCACCCCACTGAGTGCCAGGGTTGACTCGGCCGATCAGGCTGACTGGGCAGGTGTCCCCTTCCTCCCTTAGCATTCCATGTGCGTCAGTCGAGGAGGGCGACCCTACCCGGTAGAGGGGACGTGTTCTTCGGTCAAGGGTATACAAGTAGCTGAGCTCTCCTAATAGAACCTCCAGACAAGCTCTCGAATAAATTACTCTGATGACAAATAAAACTGCTGGAATCTAAAATTATTTCTGCAAGGCCAATTGTTACAGAACACTCATTCTTCATTGCAGGAATTCTAACGGAAGTACACAGTTCTTAGAAACACACCTAGGCACACAGGCTGCTGAGCACCGGTCAGCGAGCGCACCCAGCCGGGGCGCTGCTGGTGCTGCTGCAGGTGACAGGGGCTCCAGAGCGGCCGCTAGGGACGTCCTTGCGAGAAGTGCCACAGGACGTGGGTCCGCCAGTCAGCAGGGGGGAAGGGCCAGCAACACTTCCAGGACACACGTCCCTGTCACCAGCACACACAGAATGTTCTATGAAGTGGAGCCCGTTCTTCAGGGCTAAAGATGCAAACAAAACCGAACTTTCCTCACCTAGATGGAACAGAGGCTCGGCGGATTAAACTGCTAGACCCTCAGTTTAGGGAACTGGCTTCCAATCCAAGAAAGCTCAGTGTGAGCAGGGCTCAGCCCAATAGTTGAAAATGGTTGCCGGTGGAACATGAACCGGCGGCCTCGCCCAGGTCCTAACGCGCTAAGGTGGAGGCAAAAATGGCTCCTGGCTGGTCCCAGTGCTGGGCGCCCTCTGACGAGGCCCTGGGAGAAGCTGACCTGCTGGCACCAAACCGCCGCCCCGCCACTGTGCGGAGCCTGCGGGGGCAGCACCCTGAGCGCCACCGCAGACACGGCCACATCCGGGCGTATGCGACAGAGGTGGGCGCCCTGTGGTCGCCAGGTGTGTGGGGACAGGAAGTAAGCTCTAAGCCTCTGAAGATGGGTCAGCGTCTGAAAAACAAAATTTGAACGAGACCTTACGGGCGCTGGGCACTTACACTTGGAGTGCCTGTCGCACAGGGCGGAGGAGCGCATGTCGCACAGCCGGACGGTGCCCTTGCTGCTGCTGTAGACGAGCACGTTGCACTGGTGCGGGTGGAACTCCGCCGCGGTGATGACCTCCGTCAGCTCCTCCATGTTGGCGGGCTTGATGTCGACGATGTCTGGAAGCGCGTGGTTAAGGCACAGTGCTCAGCTGTTCTCGACCAGCCTACGTTCAGTCAGACGAAACACGGCGTGAAACAATCCACGCGGGGGCTTAAGGGATGAGGTGAAGGAGGCGATTAGACACACGGGGCTCCAAGGAGCAGCCCAGTAAGAGGACTGAGACGACACGTTAACCAGACTCCAGGACCGTGCCGGGCTGAGGGGCAGAGCCAGACACGAGCGCTGCTTTATCCTGTCATCACTGCTAACTTCCACAGAAAACCTTTACTAGCAAGACCGCACATATTTAATGCTACCCAACACAAATGAGAAAAGCGCCACCCTCGCCAAACCCGTACTCCTCCATGTAACCACAGACACAGGAACAACACTGCCAAACGCCAAGAGCGTACAGTTCCAATCACTGACGTCAGAGCTCGTTCTGAGCAGCTAGAGCGATGCCAACAAAGCAGGCTGCCACATACAGAAAACATTCAACTGACAGTCAGGGAAGGGCGAGTCCAGCTGCGGGCTGATGTGAGTAGCAGGGCCCGGGTTTACCCTTCCAGCTGACGCAGCTGAGACCAGCAAACCGTGGGAACTGCAGCTCGTCACTGGCCCGGAGGGCCTGCAGACACACAGGAGAGCCCAGCTGCTGCCCGGCTTGCGGGCTGGGGCGTGTTCAGCCCAGCGAGGGAGGGGAACCCAGGTGAGCTAAGAGTCCAGGAAGCCGAGGCTACTGGAGTGCACAGGGCTGAGTGCCAGAGAGCTGCTCCCGGAGCAAGGACCCGAAGACCTCCAGGAGGCTTGGGGGAGGCTGGAGCAGTTCCAAGCCCACAAGGCGCAGCCGGGCAGGATATGGACAGTGAAGCAGGAAGGCGAGAAGCACGAGGCACAGGCGGGCGACGGCAGGCAGAGCAGGAATCAAGGCAGGGCTGGAAAGCAGCCCTGTGCGGGGACCGAGACTGCCCGGAGCCTGCCACAGAGGACCGTACAATTCCTACACGGACAGCCACGTCTCAGGCTGGTGACCGGGGGTCATTCTAATCTAACCCAGTATTTTCAATTCTACAATCTATTAGCAAATTTAGGGAAAAAGAAAACCAAGCAATGTTGATTTTAAAAATGTGCCCTATTTAAAACTGCCTTTGATGAAACCAGGCAGGCAATGGACTTCAGATAATCTCCATCATACGGACTTTTCCCAAAGGCAGAGAGAAGTTAGACTCTTAGGGACAAACACTTTAAATCACGGAAAACTTGCATCACAAGCTACTGTGCAGCAAACTGTATTTAAAAGATACTTTAAAATATTTACTCTGAGATGGAGGAGGACAAACGCATATGAGAACTAACTACTGGAAGAGCCGCCCTAAGGAAGACGCCGAAGGATACTAAAGCTTCTGTCTGTGATTTCTAAATGCCATAGGTTAATTCTCAGGTCATCTGCAGAAAGATATGTTTCATGATCACTATTTACTGAAATGGAATTTATATGATACGTGTGAGCATTTGCAAAGATTCGTCGTGGACTTGCTTCTACCATAAGGTCCATGGGCTTCAATATTGGGACCTAAAAAATGGAAGGAAATAGGAATTCAAAACAAGGATCACAACACATTAAACCAGAACACTTACAGTAGATAACAAACAGGGACAAATGTATATTCACAGTTAAGTAATAATTTTGTGCAGGTAGTACCCCCAAATAACTAGTTAACCGAGTTGTGAAAATAGGCTACAAAATGGAATACTGTCTGTTCCGAGTCTTTGCTCCTTGCTTCCTGCTGCAGAAAAGATGAGCTGGCACCCTAAGAGGCTGCCCCCAGGCGCTGAGGCCAAATGGCGCAGCTTCCCTCCCCTGCGTGGTCCCCCGTGGCCACAGCCAAGTCTTCCCGGGAGGCTCATGGAGACCCCCCCTTTGTCCCCTCTCCTTGTAGCTGGACGCACAGACCTTCTCTGCCACTGACTAGTGTCTGCTTCTCAGTACAGAACCGAGAGCCCCGACAGGTGTGGGCCTGGCAGAGAGCACGGCAGGGCCCTGGGCTCCACTTCTCCATCGGGTGCTGGCTTCATGGCGTGTCCAGTCTGTGAACACTCACGGAGCTGGTCACTCACACGGTAGGTGCATTTTTGGATATGTGTTATATATTATACTTCATTAAAGGTTAAAAAAAAAAGTAAAAGTTGCCCCCCGCGCCCCCCATCTCCGTGGCGAGTGCTGTGGTCAGGGAGGGCTCCCAGGGGCCAGGCCGCTACACTGAACTGGAGAAGGCGGAGAGGGAGGGGCCGCTGGAGGGCGCCTGTGGCCAGACGCAGAGGCAAGAGCTCAGCTGGGAGGAAACGTCATCATGTGAAAAGAAGGACAAAGGCCTGCGTCTCGCTGACGTCTAGCTGGAAGAAAAGCACAAGTTCTAAAATCAAAACAAAAAATAGCATTCTCTTTGCTATTTCTGTTATCAGAAACCAAAAGGGAGAGCCTTGAAAGGTAGGAGAACTCTCCCAACCGAGTCTTCTCTGGCCAAACTGTGTGACGATGAACTGGGAGGGCACAGCGAAGTCTCCTCTCACTTTGGCCCGGCCTGTGCTGACCAGGCCGCTGGCTCTCCAGAGCGAGAATGTCAGTTCTCCCACGTGTGGGATTAAAATCACACCTGCCGCAACCCTCCAACGCATGGCAGCTGTAGGCTTGTAACAGAAAGAGTCCTTCTTTCAATCATAGCCCTTTTCTGACACTAAAATGAGTTAAAAGAAAAAAAATTTAAATAGCAAACTTTCTAACTCTTACCCAGTTAAGTTCAGATAAATTAGTAGCCCATTCTGAACTTTTAGAGAGGTAAGAACTCAAACACAGACCTAAGCCAAGGTACAGAACTACCTGGCCTGTGACCTCTCCCCCCCACGCTGCGATTAATAAACCTGTGCTCTCGCGTGCCTTCACTTTGGCCGTCACTACACAGGTTTCATTTGGGCTAAGCCTATAAACGCAGCCTTGAATAAAACGGGGATTGAGCCCAATAAAGAATACAGTTTTTCCAAAGTGAGCACGTAAGCTCATGGGTGGTGGAGAGGTCTCAGCAGGAGGAACCTGGGTCCCGGAGATGGGTGTGCTCGTGGCGTGTGCACTTGGGCGGGAGGCGCTGGCCACAGGGGAGAGCGCACGCCTGCGGCACCCCAGGTCTCACTGTTTATTGCACCTCATTTAGCACCCGCACTCCACCTGCCGGGAGCAGTAAAACTAGCGTGACGGTCACCAATTCACAGATGCAGAAGCAGCAGCACCACACGGTGATTAGAAATCACCAAATTCTGGATCAAAACATCCTGGATCAAATTAGGGCGCTATCAACTTGATCTGGGCAAATGACACAGCTTTTCTCGGCCTCAGTGAGCTCACTGGAAATGTGGTGACAGCAACGCAAGAGGTCTGAGGCCACTCCTCCTGGGGAACACTCACCCCGACTGCACCCCGCAGAGCAGCGCTCAAGAAACAGTATCGGAACAGACCAAGCGCACGCTGGGCCCACTGGGTTCCCCACCCCGTGCCACCACTGCGGGGCAGGCCCCGGGAAAGGCTTCTGTGCTACGGGGTCCTCCCTGCGGCTTCCTCAACGGCTACACTTCGGCCTGTGTGCGCCCACCCGCTCTTCGCTCGATAAACAGCAGTGCCACCTCTGAGAAGCCACCGTTCTCAAACACACGCAGCACTCCCTGGGACACGGTGCACGGGGAGCTGTGCTGCCCCGCGGCCCTGTCCACGGGGCTCTCTGGCGTCTCACTGAGCCCACAGCGCTTCACATGATGTAAGACACCATCAGTGGTGTGTACCACCAGGTCCATTATGAGACAATGAGATTTTAAGTTTTATACAATTTCGCAGATGCTAAAATGTGGAAAAAGTCTAGGTATTAGAATTGATGAAACATGCTCATTTCACACACTGCACTAGGGGTACCAAAAAGAGAGTGAAGAATTTTAAATTTTTCTTATCAAGACAGGGTCTTGCTCTGTCACCCAGGCTAAAGTGCAGTGGCGTCATCATAGCTCACTGCAGCCTCCAACTCCTGGGCTTGAGAGATTCTCCTACCTCGGCCTCCTCAGTAGCTGGGACAGGCATGCACCAACACACCCAACTAATTTTACTTTTTGTAGAGATGGGGTCTCACTACGTTTCCCAGGCTGGTCTCGCACTCCTGGCCTCAAGCGATCCTCCTGTCTCAGCGTCCCAAAGTGCTGGGTGCTGGATTATAGGCGTGAGCCAGTGCGCCCAGCCAGGACTGAAAAATTTAACAATTAAATACAAGTAACAATGCTCACGGGCTGAAAGGCAAACATTCTGAACCACCTGCCCTTCCTAAGCTGACTCAGGAACTCCACACAGACCACAGTCCATCTGCCAACTTGCAACGTGTGTTATGTCACCTGGGAAGTGCTCTAAATTCTGTCTGAACCTCAACCTGCCCAGGTGCTGTTCTGAACCTCCAGAGTGAAGAAAGGTGGTTGATGCATTCAGAAATATTTCTGTTGTAGAATTAAATGTGCATTTTTTCCCCTTTAGTATTGCTGTATTTTCTGAGGATAACTTTTTACCTTTGTGAAAATATGAGAAATCCCCTGCTTTAAACACATGTATATAAAAATGATTATTATCACAAACAACATCCATGAATCAAGAAGGCAGATCACATGTTATTTCACTTAACAGTATTCTCTAAACAGCAGATTTAAAAGCATCGTTCCTGATTAATTTCTTAAAAGCAGTGGACAGTTTAAAGGAAATGCAACATGTACCCGCAGTGCTGTGATTCTAAATGGATCTCGAAGTCGTCCGTCTTCATCCTTCAAGTTATAACCTTCTGCTCTTTTATCTCGTTCACTTATTTTCCATAATTTTATAGTTTTATCTGAAAATAAAAACCTTATTCTCCATATTAAAAGAAAAACCATAACATGCATGACTATTATTTGTGTACCATATTAGAAAACTGTGTGGCCCTAAGTGGGTTTACAAACAAATTATGGGGTCTTTGGACATGAACATTTCCAACAGACGAACACTTTGCTCTGTACAATAAATACAGATAAACATACGCAGAGTGATGTGATATTGGGGGTGCATGTGTGGTTTTTGTTGCACACTTTGAATTTTCAATGTATCACTTGCTACCCTGGCTAATAATTTACCCTCCCCACAAAGTTTAAAGCAAAAATAACTTCCAGAATGGGTTAAAATAAAAAGGAATCCATACACACAGAAAATTAAAAATAAAAAATTAAATCAAATAGTTACTTAAAAAGCAATTCTTACCATTTGTAGAGAGTAGAAAATGAGCAGCATTCTGTTGTGGCAACCACCTGATTTTATTAATTTTTTCCTCAATTTCTAAACTTTTCAAATAGTCAAACTCTGGTTCATGACTTTGAAAGGTACTGTAAACATTATATTCTCCCCTAGAATGAGGGCGGCTTTTATTCTGCAAGGAAACACGACAGCTGTTTTAATGAACAAAGCACAGTGCAGAGAAAATTTTACTATTATTAATCGAATGACCACATACATTTTTAAAAGTTAAAAAAAAACCTGGCTCAAAAAAAAAAAAAAAAAAACTCAAACAGATGAAACTGAATTTAATTCACTGGGAAAAAGGCGAAAATGAAAGAACATTTCCCAACCCTTCTATGCCACTTCTAGGTAGCTACCTACTCCAGAGTGGGTCTGCCAGATGTGGCCTAACGTCCGTGCGCACAGTTTTTCTGGAACACAACCAAGCTCATGTGTGCGTGTGGGCGCCGGCTGTTCTCCCGCTACTTGGCAGGGCGAGCAGCTGTGCGAAGTGCCGGGCGGCCTGCAGAGGCAGAGACGCCGGCCGTCTGGCCCCCGAGACACAGCATGGGAGGGGCACACTCTGGAGAGGGCCGGCACAGGCCCACGAGGAGCCCCACGCAGCGACGTGGCCGCCCCATCCCCGCAGTGGCAAACCCCACCGCATACACGCCAGCCAGAGGACACGGGGAAACAGCCACAGAGCTGCGGCAGGACTGCTATGAAACAGGCGAGCGCGCACAGACCCGCAGCGCCGCGTGAAGACACCGGGTGAGGCACTGCTGAGGCAGCGATGCTCCGTGTTACAGCAACAGCAGAAAAACATGCTTGGGAAGACATACACCATCTTCAAAACAATGGGCAACCGGGGAAGGCAGACGGAAAACAAGACTGGGAGGAAGTCGAAGAGTGAGACGGGGAGGGCGCCACACGGCTTCGTCTGCTGTGCCGCTTGCCTTTCATAAGGGGCATTTGTGTTAATCTCCAAAATCTTCTGTATGTCTGAAATGAAAATTTCTACGAAGTATTAGGTATCTCATAATTAAAAACTAAGAACACCAGTATTTTGTCTAATTCTTGCTCTATAATCAATACCTACATTTTACAATTTTTTTTTAAGAGACTTGCTCAGTCGCCCAGGCTGGAGTGCAACGGTGCGATCATAGCTCACTGCAGCCTCAACTCCTGGGTTCGAGTGATCCTCCTGCAATAGTCTCCCAAGCAGCTAGGACTACAAGTGTGCCCCACCACATCCAGCTAATTATTTGACAATTTTTTTTGTGGAGATGGGGTCTCACTTATTGCCCAGGCTGGCCTCAAACTTTGGCCTCAAGTGAGCCTCTCACCTTGGCCAGCAAAGTTCTAGGACTACAGGGGTGAGCTACTGCACCCAGCATAAAATCTTACGTTTTCAACACTTTACTATGTATGCCAAAGAAACTGAACTAAACAAGCCTTTATGTTTAGATAGATGCTTCCTTATATTTCTGAATTAGGATCAAATATTATGAGAAGACATCCCAGAAAACTACCCATATCTCTCTACTGCATTAATTTTTTTTTTTTTTTTTTTAGACAGGGTCTTGCTCAGTTGCCCGAGCTAGGGTGCAGTGGCCTGACCATAGCTCACTGCAGCCTCAAACTCCTGGGCTCAGGTGATCCTCCTGCCTCAGCCTCCCGAGTAGCTGGGACTGCAGGCGTGTGCCACCATGCCCAGCCTGCATTAAATTTTTATGTGTTGTACGTTCCTTGAAAGTAAGTGTTCAGTGGCAGGAGCCTGAAACCCTTCGTTCCCGAGTTCCCTGCGTGTGTGGTGTGGGGCTGATGCCACGAAAACTGCGCCGCCTCCTGCCCACCACACTCCTTTCCACACAAAGGCACAGCACACCAACAGGCCCGCCTCGAAAGGGAGAAAAAGGAAACTGAATTATTTACAAAGAAAAATCTGCAGCATCAGGTTAGTCCCATGCCTAAGGCATTCCTCCAGCAGGAAAGAGCAGAATGTAAGCAACGGAGTAAAATGCCCGAGTCGCAGTGCTGCCTGTACCGCCCAGGCCACTAGCCCCAAGAACCAGAAGTCTCCATGCTGTAGGCCTGTCTCCCTCCACTAACTGCTCCCAGCTCTCCCTCCAGACACCCAAAACCCAAGTCGCCCCCTGCCTTCTCCAACACCCGAGGTCCCATGGAGCCCTGCCCTACGTAGGGAGAGGGATTCTGAGGGAAGCCGCGCTGGGACAGAGAAGACGCAAGCCTGAGCTCCTGGGGGCAGAGTAACAATCGGGAGGGCAGACGGGAAGCTCACTCTGTTTCTGGACATGCCGACTTCTAATTTTACTGGACGAACTGTTCAAACAGACCTGAGTCTGTGGCGGGGGGGCAGGTCTTTGGAGCTGCACTGCAGATCAGGTCGCAGAGCTGAGCTCCGAGGGCAGGGGGCTGCGGGGCCACACCCACAGACTCTGTTTGCCTTAGTTTTACACACCGGGCCTGGCTTTACGACTTCACGTGGGCAGAGGGTCCTGCCACTAAGAACTAGAAAAGCTCGAAAAATCACACGGCTAACTATGCTTCCTACCTCCTGTCTTCTGCACAGCCAGAACTTTCCAACGTGTCTCTATGGACCTAACTCCTTCATCTCACGTCCTGCACTTTCTGCCTATTGAGCCGGCCACTCCCCTCCAGCTGCCCTCATGCTTCAGCTATTCCCACTGTGAAGCCTCTGAAACCCCAACGCAGCTGAGCTGCCGCGGCTTAACTGACAGCAGCTCCATCTTCGTGGCTGCAGGGCGATCAACGGCATCTTCGGTTACAGTTGAAAATGTAAGTTTATACCCTTATCCACGCTGGAAAAATCCAAGTCCACAGAGAGACACATACATGGCAACCAATAAAGTATTTCAAAAGTAGAATATGAAAGCCCTTCTTATGTTAACCAAAATATGAAGAATAGGACAAAACAAGTTGCCTGGGGTCTACCAAGTTGCAAGTGACCAGGTTTAATAAATTTAAGGACCTGCTCCTATATAAACCTGTCATTTCATGCAATGAATGAACACATCCTAAACAAACACTGAAAACTTTGTAATACCAAACATATTTTAGAACAAGGTGCTTGACTTTTATCACAAGTCTATTTTATATTTGGAGCTAGTATTTTTAGGTTTAAGCAATGATCAAAAAAAAACAAGAAAAATTTCACTTTTATCCTAAGACCTGCTAAGGCAAGGGAGGGTGTCTCCCATAGGCATCACCACAATGCCCAACATTTTTAGGGAGCTACAAGTGAAGTCTTCAATTTAAGACAGCAATTTGTTAAATATTCTTTCTGCTGAAAGTAATATTTAAACAATACCACCTGTCTTTACTTCTGTTGAGAAAGGTAAGATACATGGTTCTTAAGTAGCACTGTGTGACATTCTACGTCTGGGATAAGAATGCAAAACTATAAATGTATCCAATTGTCTGTGAAGATTTAGAAAGATCAATGATAATATATAATAAATACCATTCACAAAAGAATTTCTCACCATCCCAAATCAGGGAAAATAGGATTTTAAAAAATCTTTAGGCCAGGTGCGGTGGCTCCCGCCCGCAATCCTAGCCCTTTGGGAGGCAGAGGTGGGAGGATGGCTTGAGCCCAGGAGCTAGAGGCTGTAGTGAGCTGTAACCGTGCCACTGCACTCCAGCCAGGGCGACAGAGCAAGACCCTGTCTCAAAAAAAACCCACAAAAACAAACAACAAAAAACACTTTAATTGCATGGATATACTCAAGATTGAGCTGCCACAGGTATGTTTTGATAACAAGTCCCACTGGCAGCCCATCGATCTTCCCCAAGGGCCCAGGGACTGTCCTCCTGCAGAGAGCTCTCAGGCCCTGCTCTCAAGGCAGGGCCGGCACTTGCTGTGCACGGAAGGTCTGCGTGGCCAGGGACGGGGCCTGCTAGCCTCTGAACCGGAGTTTTACCACAAAATTTAGAGCCTAGAATTTGGAAATGAGAAAGTAGCCGCCCTTCAATCTTCTAGGAAACGCAGAGACAGGAAGAGCACAGGACCGTGTTTACAATTTGTTAGGGAAAAACAGGACAGATGCATGAGGGAGCCCCAGGCTGGCTGCCCTCGCCCGGCTTCCTTGCCTCACAGATGGCGCTTGCTGCATCACTCATCACGACCTCCGAGGAGGTTCGCCAGAAACAAGCAGGGGGTGTTGGGCTGGCAAGGACTGGCTCCATTTCCCATTCTCTTACGCATAAGTGAAAAAGACCTGACCCCTCCAAAAGACGTGACCTACAAGCCAGTGCTCAAGAGGGACAGTCATCTGTGGGCTCCTTCCGCTAGGGACGGGGAAGCCTTGGGGGTGCTGCTCACCGCTGCCTGGGTCTGGGTCGGGTGGGAAGAATGCATGTCCCCCTTCCACGTCTCTGCAGGAAGTGCTATGGGAGCCACGTAAGTGATTAGTGAAGGGAAGCGAACAAATTCAGAACAGCAGCACCCTACAGCCCCCGCCGGTCCTCACTGGAACCCGTGGGCAGCGAGGACTCCCTTCCCTACTCTGAAGAGGAAGGCCCTGGAGACGGCAGGGAGCTGAAAGGACGGCCAGGGCTCAAGTACAGACCTTCTCACTCCTCCCTAAGTGTCTCTGAAAGAAGACTCTACACGGTTAACGTGACACAACTGAACCTAAATGGAATCAGACACTAAGAAATTGATTTTGCTTCCTTCCTTCACAGTGATATGAGAAAGGATGAATTAGTTCATTTGGTTTGTGGATTGTAAATTACTGACCTCTTGTTCCCGCTGAAAAATAACAACTCTGCCGCCCTTGTCTCCTGTTGCAAGAAGATCTCCAGAGTAATTAAATTCAACGGTTGAAATGATGTCAGCTGTCAATAAAATACAGAGGCAATTTACCAGATTATGTTTTTGGGAGGAGTTACAATGAATATCAAATTAAAAGGATCAAAAGAAAGATAAACACATATAGAACTTTCTCCCCAAATAAAGCAACATTTCTGTGGCAAACCTGTAACTACCAAGTTGCCACTTGTTGGTTCTGGTGCAGAGAATCTACCAGCACATGGAGATTTACTCCACCGACCCAGC